CACAAGCATCCCTAGTCGTTAACTAGGCTTCAAACGTGTGACTGATGGCTGGCAGCCTTCTGTGCCTCAATGTACTCAGTGTGGTGACAGCGATGAGTTCCTATGAGATTCTGCCCCCGCCCCGTGTCTCCACCCAGCACTGTGGTCCCCTGCCCAGTCCCTAGAGAGAGCACTCTTGTACCAGAGGGCCTGGATCTAATCCCAAGCTTACTGCCCTCTGCTGTGTGACATTGGGCAAGATGCTGCACCTCTCTGTGCCTAGTTCATAATCTCCCTCATGGGAAGCCTTTGACGCCAGGTGTGTTTTGACATTCTGACATTTGAAAGGGCTGAGGACAGAGCTCAGTTGTCAAGCACTTTCTTAGCCTGGGGCCCTGGGTTTACACACACACACACACAAAGCGTAACATCCTTGTGGTCTTATATCCTTAATCATATGTGAAACTATTTCTAGACTGAAATTTTTTAATAATCGTGTGAGCTTTAAATAGGGCTGAGGGTTTAGCTTAGTGGTGGAGCACTTGCCTAACGTGCAAGGTCCCAAGTTCCATCCCCAGCACTAAAAACAACTGGGCGTAGTGGTGCAGGCCTGTAATCCCAGCTACTCAGGAGGCAGAGATAGGAGGGTCACTGTCTGAGGCTAGTCCAGGCAAAAGCAGGTGACCCTATCTGAAAAAGAAAAGCAAAAGGGCTGGTGGAGTTGCTCAAGGTGTAGGCCCTGAGTTCAAATCCCAGTACCGCCAAAAAAAAAAAAAACATGAAGTATTTAGAACAGTGCTCAACACCTGCCAGCTGCTGGTATTATAATTCTTTGTCTTTTGGGGGGCAGGGGGGCAGTACTAGGGTTTGAACTGAACTCTGGGCCTTATTCTTGCAGGGCAGGCGCTCAGCTCTTTTTTGCTTTAATTATTTTTTAGATAAAGTCTTGCAGTTTTGCCTGGAGCCAGCCTCAGACCTCTATCCTCCTACCTGCGGCCTCCCCAATAGCTGGGAAGACAGGCATAGGCCACCACATTCAGTTTATTGCTTGAGATGGGATTTCACTAACTTTTTTGTTGCCCAGGATGGCCTGATCCCCCTGAGCTCCATCTCTAAAGCAGCTGGGATTACAGGCGTGAGCCACTGCGCCCAGCTGTTTTTAATTTTTTTTAGTAAGCTAAATTTGCGTGTACAAAGTGGCCTATTTTAGGTGTACAGTTGGTGAGGGTTTTTTTATTTTATTAGAATTTATTCGTTATACAAGAGGGGATTCATAGAGTTGGTAAGTTTTGTCAGCTGTGTTCACCCATGTGGCGACCACCCCAAAACACAACATTCCTTCCTTCCTGCCCCTTCCCTTTCTGCCCCCACCCACTCACACACTCAGAGACCCACTGGAATATCTGGGACCCGGTGTTCCCAGCACCCCCAACTCCCACGCCCCGATCCCTGCTTTTACTCCACACAATGGCCCAAGGGAGTGACCAACAGGTGGGTGCATTTCCCGAAATTCCTTGTGCGTGAGCACACCACGGTGTCTGTTCACCCTCGTGGACACTGGTCATTTCCTGGTTAGGGTGTAATGAGCAGAACTGCTCTGAACATTCTTTGTCGACTGTCACACCAACATCTGCTTCCCCGGCTCTTCAAGAAGCAGCCAGGGGTGCAGCGGGGAGGGGGAGAGGGACACTTGGTAGCTCTAGTTTTAGCCTGGCCACCACCTGTGGAACCCCCTTCCAACTTGGTGGCACCCTCTCCTCCACCGGCTGCTCCAGACCCAGGTTTTTTGATTTTTGTTTGGTTTTGGTTTTGGGTACTGGGGTTTGAACTCAGGGCCTTCACCTTGAGCCACTCCACCAGCCCTTTTTGGTGATGGGTCTTTTTGAGATAGGGTCTCACTAACTATTTGTCCAGGCTGGCTTCGAACCTCCACCCTCCTGACCTCTGCCTCCTGAGTAGCTAGCATTACAGGCGTGAGCTACAGGCTAGCCTTTCTGAATGTCCCCATGACTGGTTGGCCATCACTGACCCATGTGTCTCCCCGGTGTCCCCCACCCCACCCCCACCACCCCGTTCCTCCTTCCCCTTGCAGGTGATCCGCACGGACACGTTCAAGCACCTGCGGCACCTGGAGATCCTGCAACTGAGCAAGAACCTGGTGCGCAAGATCGAGGTGGGCGCCTTCAACGGGCTGCCCAGCCTCAACACGCTGGAGCTGTTCGACAACCGGCTGACCACGGTGCCCACGCAGGCCTTCGAGTACCTGTCCAAGCTGCGGGAGCTCTGGCTGCGAAACAACCCCATCGAGAGCATCCCCTCGTACGCCTTCAACCGCGTGCCCTCCCTGCGCCGCCTGGACCTGGGCGAGCTCAAGCACCTGGAGTACATCTCGGAGGCGGCCTTCGAGGGCCTGGTCAACCTGCGCTACCTCAACCTGGGCATGTGTAACCTGAAGGACATCCCCAACCTGACAGCCCTGGTGCGCCTGGAAGAGCTGGAGCTGTCAGGTAACCGGCTAGACCTGATCCGTCCAGGCTCCTTCCAGGGTCTCACCAGCTTGCGGAAACTGTGGCTGATGCACGCGCAGGTGGCCACCATCGAGCGCAATGCCTTTGATGACCTCAAATCCCTGGAGGAACTCAATCTGTCTCACAACAACCTGATGTCGCTGCCCCACGACCTCTTCACACCCTTGCACCGCCTGGAGCGTGTCCACCTCAATCACAACCCTTGGCATTGCAACTGCGACGTGCTGTGGCTCAGCTGGTGGCTGAAGGAGACGGTGCCCAGCAACACTACGTGCTGCGCGCGCTGCCACGCGCCCGCCGGCCTCAAGGGGCGCTACATCGGCGAGCTGGACCAATCGCACTTCACCTGCTACGCGCCCGTCATCGTGGAGCCGCCCACGGACCTCAACGTCACCGAGGGCATGGCCGCCGAGCTCAAGTGCCGCACGGGCACCTCCATGACCTCCGTCAACTGGCTGACGCCCAACGGCACCCTCATGACGCACGGCTCGTACCGCGTGCGCATCTCCGTCCTGCACGATGGCACGCTCAACTTCACCAATGTCACGGTGCAGGACACGGGCCAGTACACGTGCATGGTGACGAACTCAGCTGGAAACACCACCGCCTCGGCCACGCTCAACGTCTCAGCCGTGGACCCCGTAGCAGCTGGGGGTGCGGGTGGCGGGGGTGGCCCCGGGGGTGGCGGGGGTGGCGGAGGGGGCAGTGGTGGTTACACCTACTTCACCACGGTGACCGTGGAGACCCTGGAGACGCAACCCGGAGAGGAGGCCCTGCAGCCTCGGGGGACCGAGAAGGAACCTCCAGGACCCACCACCGATGGTGTGTGGGGTGGTGGCCGACCTGGGGACGCGGCTGGCCCTGCCTCATCGTCCACTACGGCACCCGCCCCGCGCTCGTCGCGGCCCACGGAGAAGGCGTTCACGGTGCCCATCACGGACGTGACGGAGAACGCCCTCAAGGACCTGGACGATGTCATGAAGACCACCAAAATCATCATCGGTTGCTTCGTGGCCATCACGTTCATGGCCGCCGTGATGCTGGTGGCCTTCTACAAGCTGCGCAAGCAACATCAGCTCCACAAGCACCACGGGCCTACGCGCACCGTGGAGATCATCAACGTGGAGGACGAGCTGCCCGCCGCCTCCGCTGTGTCCGTGGCCGCGGCCGCTGCTGTCACCGGAGGGGCCGGCGTGGGTGGGGACAGTCACCTGGCCCTGCCCGCCCTGGAGCGCGACCACCTCAACCACCATCATTACGTGACCGCCGCCTTCAAGGCGCATTACAGTGGCAACCCCGGCGGCGGGGGCTGCGGGGGCAAAGGCCCCGCCGGCCTCAACTCCATCCACGAACCTCTGCTCTTCAAGAGCGGTTCCAAGGAGAACGTGCAAGAGACGCAGATCTGAGGCCACTTGGGGCGCTGGGGACATCCCAGCCCGGCCTGGACGCGCAAGGCAGGCGACCCGCCACCTAAGCGAGGAGAGGGGAGAGGGAGGTGCGGGGGCTCCAGGCGCGCGCCGCGCCCCGCCCATCCTGGTGACGGGAGGGGACACGGGGTTCAGGAGAGGTGGCCGCGTTTCCTCTTCGTTCTCCCGACCACCCTGTCCCGCCCGCCGCCTTCCAGGGGAGAGGAGCTTTTTTGAGGGGTGGCCTTTCTCCTCCCTCCCCCACAACAGCCCTCCTTTTACGGTTCTTTTTTTTTTTTTTTTTTTTTTTGCAGTTTGACGCCTGTTCCTCCCTCCCACCCCTCCATCCCCGAAACCCAACAGACAGATACGTCGCCCTCCCCTTGGCGACACCCCCCTGCGTCCCCAGCGCGCTGAACTCCACTCCCGGCCCTGGCCCGGCTGGGGGTGGGGTGATCCCCACCGCCCGGCCCCACCTGCCCCACAGACTCTTTTGATACTGAAGGGAGGTTTGCGTCAACGACTACCTGCTCTGTAATTACTTTAAAAAAAAAAAAAACACGGAAAAAGTAAAAAGAAAAAAATTTTTCGGTCATGAAAGCACAGAAGGGACAAAAAACAAAGTGCATGTGGGTTGGGACCAGAATGACATGAGAAAAATCAAAGCCTAAGGTCACTTTCCTGGGGCCACAAGGTGGGCAAATCCAGAGATCTTAGTCACCTCAGAACCCCAGACTAGTGCAACCCAGTGCACTCCCACACGGGTCACTATTTCATCTCTTCAGCCCTTTGAGCCTTTCAAGTCTGTTTCTCTCTCTCTCTCTCTCTCTCTCTCTCTCTCTCTCTCTCTCTCTCTCTCTCTCTCTTTCTCTCTCCCCCTCCCTCTCTCCCTTTACCTCTCTATATTTTCTCTCTCCTCACTTTATCATCTCTCTCTCTCTCTCTCTCTCTCTCTCTCTCTCTCTCTCTCTCTCTCTCTCTCTCTCTCTCTCTCATACACACACACCATCCTCCACATCATCAAAGCAGCAGACAACCTGGAGGGGGCCTTAGGGCTGCAGTCCCACAGTGTGGGTGGATTGGAACAACAGAAACGTGTGTGTCACCTCCCTGGAGTCTGCAAGTCCAAGATTAAGTTGCCAGCAGGGCCAGGCTCCCTCTGAAACCTGGAGGGAAGGGTCCTTTCTTGCCTCTTGCAGCTCCTGGTGGCCCCAGATGCTCTGTGGCTTGCTATTGTATCACCCAGTCTTCTCCCTGACTCTGCATGGTCCCTGCCCTCTGTATGTCTGTCTGTGGCCAAGTTTCCCGTCTGTGTAATGACACTGACTTACTGGATTAGGAGCCTCTGGATCTGCAGGCTACATCTGAGGTATTGGGGAGCCAGGGTCTCAACATACCTCTTCCTGGGTGACACGTTTCAACCCATAACAGCCTCTAAACCAGTGCCTGTCTCCATTGCAAACCCTTTCAAGTTCAAGGCTGCTCCAGTGGGGGAGGGGAGGTGGTGAGGGAGGCCAAAGAGCATGTAGGGTGGACCAGTCTGGCACAGGGGCAGGAGGAACACACAATGTAGCCAGAGGACAGAGGCTGAATGTGGGGGCAGAGCCCTGGGAAGGTCTGGAGCAAACATGGCCCTTATCACTGAGGATAGTGGCCCTCTGCTGGGTGGGGGCATGACCTCTCTGAGGGACCAAGGTTACCATGGTTGAGGCTCCATAGGGCTGGGGCTCCCAGGACCATCCACCATCTAGGGATGGAAGGCAGTGGGCAGCACCCAGCTGCCCTTACAGCCCCTCCCCACACTGACCCCACTGTGGACACTAGGACTGGATAGAGGGGCAGGTGGTACTCTCCCCTTGCCTCCTTGGCCTTGGCCTAGCCTGTCCCGTACACCTGGCAAACACTCGGGCCCCAGATGGAGACTACCACAGAAAGTGGGGAGAGCACAAAGTCCCACCCCCCCACAATGCCCGCATAGGGTCTGAACAGAGGTCTTCACGCCTGGACCCTGTCCTCTTTCCTGGGTGTTTCTACACCCAGCCCGTCTTATCAGTTCCCCCATTCTGGAGCTCTTAAAGTGGATTCTTCCCTTATCTGTGGTGGCAGTGCTGCCCAGCCAGTGACAGTTGTGTCTCTGCCCCTATCTGCCTGGTGTGTCTCCTCCGGTCAGTGGGCCTGGGACTCCACCGCTGCCCTCCTGTGCTGGGTCTTTCATGCCTTCTTCCTGCGCGCAGATCCTGGTTGCCATGGCAACGCTGAGGCAGTACCAGGTGGCAGAGGGGGCAGGGAGCCGGCCTGCCTCAGCCGCCATCTCCGGTGCCAGGCCTGCCAGGCAATGACTGGGCTCATCCTGGGAGCACTCAGGGACTTCCCAGGCCTCAGGAGCCTTCTCCACGATATGATGAGGGGAGGGGGCGCAGAGGGGAGCAAGGATGCAAGGCGAGCAGAGGGGCAACTCCTCTTGCTGGGGTGAGAGGTGGAACGTCAAGGTGAACTGAAGGACAATCAGAGACTGGAGGGAGGGGGCTCTGGCCTGGACTGAGGGGTACAGAGTGGTCCTTCCTCCCCGGGACAGGGGGAGACAGCACCCACTGAGGCCTGGGTGCAGCAGGGGTGCACAGGTACTCAGTGAATAAACCAGCAGGACCAGACCAGGTCTGCTTCCCAACTGCCCACCTGACAGAAGAGAAATGGAGAGCCGAGGACCTAGAAGCAAGGGGCCAGGCTGAGGGGCTGGAGTCCCTGTCTCATCTCCTCTCCCTGCTCCAAGCAGGATACAGTTTCCATGACAACATCACCAGGCCATAAAGCAGGAGGGGACTGCAGAGGGAATTTTCCACATTGGCAGAAAGTAGGGAGCGTGGGCAGCACAAGAAAGAATCCTGTGTGGCCACTACGCGGGGTCCTGAGTCCCAAATTCACGTGCCCACTGCATGGGACAGGAGGGACATGAGGGACCAGAAGGCAGAGGGAACTCTGGGAAGGACCCACTCCCCACCTCTGGCCACAGTGAGCAGAGGCTCAAGGGTGAAATGTCCAAAGGTCACCAGCTGCCCTGGTCTGGTGCAGGGGTGGCCAGAAGCCCAGGGAACACCCGCTGCAGACTGCCAGGTTCACAGCCATGGCCCTCGACAGGGTCCTGAGGAAGGTGGGGGTGGTGGGCTACGGCCGCCTTGGTAAGTCCCTGACCATCCTGGGCCTCCTTCCTCAGGCCCCTTCCCAAACCCCAAAAGCCCCTCTGCTCGACACAAACACCCTTATCGTCTGTCTGTGTCTGCCTGCCCCAGATCTGTCAGCCAAGTCCCTCTCTTCGAGTCTCCCTCCCTGGTCTGCATCTCTGTCCCCTTCTCTAGGTCTCTGTCCCTCTCTCTGAGTCTCTGCCCCGCCCCCCAGATGTCAGCCCTCTCCTTTCCCTCCCCACAGGACAATCCCTCGTCTCCCACCTTCTGGCTCAGGGATCTGAACTGGGCCTAGAACTTGTTTTTGTCTGGAACCGTGACCCAGGACGCATGACAGGGAGGGTGCCCCACTCCTTGCAGCTCCATGATCTAGCTGCCCTTGAGGAAAGGTCAGTGGCCTCACTGTGAGAATCTTCCAATATGTCCTGTTCTGGCCTCCCTTAGCTGCTGCGAGAGGTCAGGCAAGTCCCTTACCCTCTCTGGACCTCGGTTCACCCAAACATGAAATGGGACAAACTCACCCAACCTGTTTCCCTTCTCTGGCCAGGGTGAAGGGTGACAGCCCTCTGCAGACTCTAAAGGGCCTGGGGGAAGAGAGGCCATTTCATCTCCAAGGCCCCCCTCTCCCTTCTCTCCCTCTCCCTTCTCTCCCTCTCCCTTCTCTCCCTCTCCCTTCTTTCTCTCCTTCTCCCTTCTCTCCCTCTCTCCCAGGCACCCTGACCTTGTGGTAGAAGTGGCCCATCCCCAAATAATCCATGAATCTGGGGCACAAATCCTGCGCCATGCCAACCTCCTGGTGAGACTCTCTCAACACATAAAAACAAGCCCCTATCCTTTCTGTCTTGGCCTCACTGCACCCTAAAATATCTATCAGTCCCCTGATCGAAACCCTCCCCACCATCCTCCACCCCAGGTGGGGTCTGCCTCAGCCCTAGCTGACCAGAGCACAGAGCAGCAGCTCCTGGAGGCCTCACACCACTGGGGCCATGCTGTGTTTGTGGCCCGAGGGGCCCTGTGGGGGTCTGAAGACATCGCTAGACTGGATGCAGCTGGAGGCCTCCAGGTGAGGGTCCCCTGGGCTCCCCAGCAATCAGAGAGATCCTGCAAAGACCCCAGTCCCCTGATCCCGGCCATTGCTTCCAGAGCCTCCGAGTCATCATGGCCACACATCCAGATGGCTTCCGCCTCCAGGGACCTCTGGCTGCAGCCCACAGTACCGGTCCTCGCACTGTACTCTATGAAGGCCCTGTCCGTGGGCTCTGCCCCTACGCCCCCCAAAACTCCAACACCATGGCAGCTGCTGCCCTGGCTGCTCCCAGTCTGGGCTTTGACAATGTGATTGGAGTGCTTGTGGCAGATCTCAGGTGAGAAAAGCTGAGCAGGGGGTTGGGCTGGTCTGGGGCAACCACACTGACTGCCCTGCCTACTGCAGCCTCACGAACATGCATGTGGTGGATGTGGAGCTGAGAGGACCCCCAAGCTCCACGGGTCGAAGCTTTGTGGTGCACACCCACAGAGAGAACCCTGCTGAGCCAGGCGCTGTCACCGGCTCTGCCACCATCACTGCCTTCTGGCGCAGTCTCCTAGGTGCGGCCAGACCCCTCCCCAGTATCAGTGGCCCCTCAGCAGTGTGCTCTGAAAGACTGGGATCTCAGGCCCTGCTTCTGCAGTTCTGATTCTCTGTTGATCTCTCTATTGGACTGGGGTTTGAACTAGGGCTTTGCTCTACCGCTTGGTCCACACCTCCAGTCCATTTTGCTGTGGTTATTTTGGAGATAGGGTCTCGCGGACTATTTGCCTGGACTGACCTTGAACCTCGATCCTCTGGATCTCTGCCTCCCAAGTAGCTAGCATTACAGGCGTGAGCCACTGGCACCCGGCTGATCTTTATTTCCGATTCTCCTTAACTTTCTCACTCCCCAACCTGAATCTTTGTATGTCATTATCTCTGCCCATGTCCCAGTCTATCTCTACACACCCCAAGTCTCGGTCTCTCTGGGTGCCTCTTTCTGGGTCGTCCCCTTCTCCCACACTGTGTCCCCGCTAAGCGCCTGTCTCCTCATCTCTCCATCTCAGTCCTTCATTCCCTGTCTCCCCGCAGGCTGCTGCCAGCTCCCCTCCAGGCCCGGGATCCATCTCTGCTGAGAAGTCTCCTCCTCCCGAGGACATCCTGTCTGAAAGATCCCACTGGCCAAATTCTGCCAAGAGCTCCCTCTGGTCTCAGTAAAGATCAATTTCTGCTCCCTGCAGGCTAGCGTCTCTAGTTGTGTCCCTCTGTGACGTCACGCTTCGTCTACACACAGTGCATGATGCCATAGCAATAAACCCGCACACACAACCGCAAGTCAAGGAAGTTATCGCGAGAGCGTGACCATTATATTTCCCAGAATCCTCTGAGCAACAGTGGGCGTCAGAGTACGCCAGGGGTAGAGCCGCCGAGGCGCATTTCCGGGATTTGTAGCAGTGGCCGCCGGGAGTTGTAGTCCTGCGTTTCCTAGCAGCTACCAGCGGACTTCGGGGCCCCTTGGTCTGGTCGTTCCGAGCGGAACAAGCATCCCGCGGGCGCCGCCGGGAGTCGTAGTCCGTCGCGCGGGAGTCGCTGGGAGCTGAAGTCCGCCCCGCCTGCCCAGTCAGCGCGGTGCTGCCCGCCTGGCACTCGGAGCCTGGAGCCGCCGCCCAGGGGAATGCGGGAGCCCCTGGCTCGGGGGATCAGAGAGGCAGGCGGGGTGAGGGGCGTTGCCAGGCAAAGGGCAAGCGCAGTGGTTGGGGTACGGGTCGGGAAAGGACTCTGTTACTTAAGTGTCCGGGTAGGGGGCCTGGTTGCCAGGTGATAAGAAGAGGGGATCCTGTTGCTTGGTGACCGGGGAGGGGGCCCTGTTGCCAGGTGACGAGAGGAGAGAACTTGTTTAGTGACAGAGGAAGGGGAGTCTTCTGTTGCTAAGTTACCTAGAGGAGCCCTCTAGTGCTAGGTAATTGGAAGAGAAACTGTCACCTAGTGTGTGGGGGGTGTACTCTGTTGCTAGGTAACCAAAAAGAGATACCATTACCTAGGAACAGGAGAGGGGAGGGGATCCTCTGTTGCTAAGTGATGATGAGGATGGGGGCCCTTTTACTTTAAAGACTGGCAGGCGTGGTTCCCCGATGCCAGGTGAACCTAGGAGAGCCTTTTTTCTAGAACTAGGAGGTGGTGGTGCTTCTGTTGCCAGGAGACAATCCAGGAAGCAGGGTCAGGGGCCCAGTGTCCTCCCAGGCTGTCCCCAGCTCCCACCTCAATGCTGGTGTTGCCCAGGAGGTTGCTGGGAGTCTGAGCCTCCAGACCCTGGTTCCCTGAGTGCCTTCTTCCCCTCCTACCTCCCAGCAGGAGCCGAGGACGGCATGTCCCAGGCCCCGGAAGCACGTCCGTGCCCGACCTCCGTGTACCACGAAAGGCAGCGCCTGGAGCTGTGCGCCGTCCACGCCCTCAACAACGTCCTGCAGCAGAGGCTCTTTAGCCAGGAGGCTGCGGATGAGATCTGCAAGAGGTGACTGTCACCTGCCCTGACCCTGGAGAAGCAGGGCTTAGAGAGGCAGAGTAGCCCACCTGGGGCTCCCAGTGAGGCCAGGAATACCCCTTCACCAGCCAGGCCTGGAGCAGGGGCTAACACATGGAGGTGACATCTCCTCCACCTGTTGGTCCCCAGGGCCTCAGCCCTGGCTCAGGCCTCACCCTTTCTTATCTAGACTGTTGTTACAGCCTCCCAGCAGCCGCTTTTTCTCCTCCAGTCCATCCTACACACAGCCTCAGAACTAACCCTGTCCTCTTTCCTGCTTATAGCCCTCTGTGGCTCCCTACTACCCTTATGGAATGTCCTAATTCCCTCAACCTGATATCCAAGGCCCTGTGTGTCCTGGTTCCCACCTGCCTCTGCACCTTCATCTTACTGCTCTCCTCAAACCAGATTTCTCTGTAGTCCCTGAATGATCCCCACTGCGGTGCCCCTGGGCCTTTGCACAGGCTGTTCTTTCTGCACAGCATGGCTTTCTCCTCTTATTAGTTGGAGGCCCCTCCTCCAGATTTCAAACATTACTTTATACCCTCTCTGCCTCACTGCCTCCTATCAGCCCCACAGTCTTGGTATCAGCCCATGCCTGGTCCTCTGAGGCCTGAACCTTCCACCCAGCCTCCTCTCCAGCCTCCTTGCCTCCTGTCTCTCCCCTCCAGTCTGTGCCCCACACAATCCCAGATTGGTGGGTCATTCTCCATCCAGAGATGGCCCTGTCTCCCTCCCCTTGTGCTCACAGCCTCTCAATGCCCTCCAGCCTCCTCAGACTGATTATTACAGAATTTATAGAGTCAATTGTATAATACCTTCTTCCCATTCTCATGCCAGGGCCTTCTGAGTGGCCACCCTGACCCAAGGTGTCCTCTGTCATTCAAAACAGGGATCTGTTTACTCTTTCATACCAAGGCCATGTTGGGGAGCCAGAGCTGAGTCAGCTAAGAGCCTTGCCTCAGTGAGGAGGCAAGAGAAACAGACACAGAAAAACAACACTTTAAGTTTCCCTCCCCCTCCCCTGCCCCCACAGGCCCAGACAGGGACAAAGGCACAGTTGTTCAGAGAGCAGGGCCCAGAGAGACTTGTGATGGCAGGATGGATCCTGGGATGGGGAGCTACAGGGAAGACTGGGATGTAGGACATAGTTGGGGACAGGTAGCTGCTGGCACTGACACCATACAAGGCACAAAGGGCAGTAGGAAAGGTGGGACTCTGTCCTGGGGAGATGAGGCACCAGGGAAGGCTGTGAACAGGGATGGGGCAGGGCAGCCCTAAGTGAGACACACAGTGTTCAAACATGGTGCCAGGGGCAGTCATTGTCACCAAGGTGGCTCAGTCACAGGGAGATCCCAGAGATCCCAGAAGGCCTCAAACCCAGCCTGGAGATCAGGAGACTCCTCTCTGAGATGGTTGTTGAAAGACAGAGGAGGGGACAGGTCAAAATGAGAAGAGCTGAGGGAAAGGGACTTTGTCCAGGGCACTGGGGAGCCATGCAGGGCTGAGAGCAGGGGAGGGACAGGGCAGCTGTGAGGCTGGGCTGGAGGTGGACTGGAGGAGAACCCTGGAGGCTGGGCAGGGATCCAAATGGAAGAAGACAAATGCCTGAGTTGGAGCCAGGGCAGGGTCAGAGGAGAGGAGGGGCAGGACTTGGGGGGCGGGGTGGGCAATGAGCTGTGTGGCTGAAGAGAGGGAAGAGCCAAAGGCTGAGTCCTGGGACCCTCCTGAGGCACAGGAAAGCTGAGGCCTTTCCAGGGTCCCCGACCCAGGCTCTGCCCCCCACCAGGTTGGCTCCAGACTCCCGGCTGAACCCCCACCGCAGCCTGCTGGGCACTGGCAACTATGACGTGAACGTGATCATGGCCGCCCTGCAGGGGCTGGGCCTGGCTGCCGTGTGGTGGGACAGGAGGAGGTAGGATGGGCTGCAGCAGACACTGACTGGGGGCCATTGGGAGATGACGGGGAAGGGAAGCAATGTAGAAGGGGAGGTTTGTGCAAACAGGGTGAGTGGAAGGTGGTGACAAAAGGGTGGGGGCGACTGGACAGTGGGGTGAATTGATGGGTGCCCAGAACAGGGTGGTGAATGAGAGACGAGTGTCAGATGATGGGGTCCTGAGGGGAGGGGTGTTTGGGGAATAGAAGATGGATGGGATGGGTGCTGGTGGCTCACGCCTGTAATCCTAGCTACTCAGGAGGCAGAGATCAGGAGGATCATGGTTCAAAGCCAACCTGAGCAAATAGTTCACAAGACCCTATCTTGAAAAAAAATCCATCACAAAAAAGGGCTGGTGGAGAGGCTCAAGATGTAGGCCCTGAGTTCAAGCCCCAGTACCACCAAAAAAAAGTGGCTGGTTCAAAGAGGTGCAGGCAGGAGGATCTTGAGTTCCAAGCCAGCTTGGGTAATTCAGTGAGACTCTGTTTAAAAACACTGGAGGCGCACGCCTGTAATCCCAGCTACTTGGAAGGCTTCGATCATCTCATTTTGAGCCCAGCCTGGGCAAATAGTTCATGAGATCACATCAAAATAACCAGCGCAAAAATAGACTGGAGGTGTGACTCAAGCTCTAGAGCACCTGCTTTGCAAGTGTGAAGCCCTGAGTTCAAACCCTGATCCCAACCAAAAAAAAACCCACAATTAATTAATACATGGACAATTGGCAGGCAGTAGGTACCAAATGGGTATTTGGGAGCTAGGTGGCTGGGTGGGGTTTGACGGGTGGGAAGACGGATGAGTGGAGAGAAATAGTGACCCTGTTTCCGTCCCTGGTCCCCAGGTCCCTGTCCCAGCTGGCCCTGCCCCAGGTGCTAGGGCTCATCCTGAACCTGCCCTCGCCAGTTTCACTGGGGCTGCTGTCCCTGCCTCTGCGCCGGCGGCACTGGGTGGCCCTGCGCCAGGTGGACGGTGTCTACTACAACCTGGACTCCAAACTGAGGGCACCCGAGGCCCTGGGGGATGAGGATGGTGTCAGGTATGCTCCTGGGGAAGTGACTGAGGTCGGAGCCTTGGCGTCAGAGCCTTCCATCCCCTGGGAAAGGCCAAGGCTGGCTGGGCCTCAGTCTCCCCATTTCTCCCATCTAGGGCCTTCCTGGAGGCTGCCCTGGCCCAAGGCCTGTGTGAGGTGCTGCTGGTGGTGACCAAAGAGGTGGAGGAGACGGGCTGCTGGCTCCGCACCGACTGACCCATGATGGACTGGCTGCAGGCCACGCAGCCACACCCTGCCCGAGTGCTGGGGAGGGCCTGCACTTGTGGACCCCACAGAGGCCACAAGCCCTCCCCCACATCCCCTGTTCCCCAGTGCCACTGCTGCCTCAATAAACCCGTGGATTTGC